ATTGTTGACGTTTGGCATGGACTAGCAGTGTTCGATACAACCAGAAATTCTTAAACTAGCTGAAGTATTTTTGAATAACTTCGTCATCACCTGTTTGCAAATTATTTGTTCTGCAGACGCTAATTCGTTTATGTCCAAGGTGTGAATACTATACCGATTACGAATATCCTTATAGTCATGTGAGGCTATGTTGTTTCACATATAAAATATAAAATAAAATTTATATAAAATTTTTCAAAAATCAAATGTGTTGATAATCTGTAGGCACGTTACACTGTACTGCTGTAATCCCTCCGGTTTCCTTTGCATAGGAATGTTTAGAAAAGAGACAACCACCTTATTTTTCTGTCTATGCTTTCTTTTAATCAACAGTTCTAAAACGCGTCATGTGATCAGCATTCAGAACTATAGTCAACGGAAACCTGATCGAATGCATTCTCGCTTCTTAACCACTCCTTGCAGTAGCATTGGGCATTACATATCCCGTGATAAACCTCTCTGTCACCTTGCGAAAGACCATCAGCGGCCGATGAATCAGTGGTGTTAGGCACCATTTCAGACATCTTCTTCTGGTGCTTACGATCCCTGCAAACATATTATCCACTCATTAAGCTCTGGCTTTAAATCCATACGTATATCAGGAACGTTTGGCATTAAGGATGACCAGCTTGAATGGCGTTTCAGATTCTAGACTGCGATTGATTCATTGCCGATTGACTCCTTATTAGAAACGGCCTGCAGCAGCACTGCTCAAATACAAGACAATCCATCCTCTGAAAGTGGCAGCTCTGCAGCACTTCTAAGTTATTTCAGATGCCAACACATGTACTAGGAAGACGCTCCTTTGGAGACCATTCTTTACCACCTCAGAATGCTCTTGCGTGAATCGTCATGCTGTTACATACCGCTATTTGACTATCTTGTCGTAGTGTTATTTTCGTGATATAGTGTTCATGTGCATTGCTTAATGTGTTACTTATTCATTCTTTCTTGCCTTATTCAGTTTCATTATTCGAAACTGTGATTATATTCCTTCATATAACTGTCACATGATATCCTGCATTGCAAATGTTTTCATTTCCTGTGATATCTTTCACGATTTTACGAAGAAACACGGCCGTCGTCACTCAGGGTACTTAAACAGAAAAATTATACCCTTACTTCATGAAATGTTTTGATATACAACGGCAACATAACCCGTAGTATAAACTATATAACAAAGTTTAGATGGAAGGCGAACTAGCAATTTTATGCTTCGTTTGCGTGTGTTCTTAGGATGCACTACTCGCACTGACAGCAATCATTTAGTGAATGCTGTAGATATGTGTTTTTCTTTCGATTCGCAGGCCCGAGCTTCCGGTTCTTTATGCAAGCACCGTCAAGTTGTTCACAATGGTTCCACACACCGGAAACCTATTCGAACACTGGTCTCGTTTCCGATGCCGGTTCCTGACCGTTGCCGAACTAGAAGAGCTTGAAGAACGCCCGGGAGATGCTGGCTGACACGTGGCACTGGTCAACCAGCCCCTTAGCGAAATTGTTCGTGCTGTGTATAAATGAACTGTGCAGTTTGCTGTTTCTACCATGACACGAATAGCCATTGGTCATTGAAATTGGAGTTGATTCGTTTTATCCATGAACAGCGAAGGTGCTAAGAAAAAATCAACTTACAGTTCTGCCAACGAAACAACTTCACTTGTCTGATCCCTCCATTCCTCATTAACCATAAATCAGTTTGTGCATCCTCCTATGATGGATGTCGATTGACAGCGTTACAAACAACATTTTAAAGTAGCTGGAAAAAGTTGATGGAGTTTTCTTCCTCGTGAAGTTCGTTGTTCAAAGCACCGTTTCGCGTTCGTCTGTTTCATCGGCGAATTTCAGCATGTCGAGGAGTCCGGGCATGAAGGCCAACGTGTCCTTCTTCAGTGCCCATCGAGCGAGAGTTGCGAGTCGCTGTGGATTCTTCCTCTGGCGTGGCGACTCCGGCGTTGGACTACTGACGTCCAGTATTTCCGCTTCGTTGACCGTTGCCCGTGCCAAAATTTCTCGTCGCACTTCCGATATCAGCCGCATGACTTCAATCACCTCTTCGTCGAGCTGAGGTATCCCCTGAAATAAGTTCATACACTGCATCGCAATGCAAGCACTACTATGCTTGATGCCCCTTACATGTAGACATTGCAGTGTTGGCAATACCCCATTGCAAAACGCCCTTCAATTAATATTGTTATCTATGGGTATTTTCTTATTTTTAGAACAGCTATCTACCACTTATATAAACTATAACTCGATATAAATGAACCATTACTTGCGGTGGTGGCTGGGAGAGTATAAGTGGTGTAATGTATTAATGTATTTTTGCACTTTAAGGGCGCCAAACTGAAATCCCTTCTGGAATAAAGTTAAAATATGAATTTACCCACTACGAGTTTTTTGAGCAATTATAAACTGTGCCAAACTGCACTTCAGTGCGATCAGTCAAACACGGGTAGAATATCAATCACTGACCCACCAACGGAATGACAACAAAATGGTTGCCACGTGGGACGCGCCAGAGCATGAGAAACATAATGCCAGGTTATTCTATGCCTTTCATGCTTAGCTGCAAGTTTCACTCTCATCTACCACCTCATCACCGAGTAAATTCAATGCAAAGTGTAATCGTCAGTAGTCAGTTTCGATGACTGCGTATTCTATTCGGATAAATGAAAATTTTATTGTAATTTACTTCTCTGTACTCGCACTTTGGTTAATTCCAATGCATAATTCATATAATATTTTAGATATTCAAAAATGTAATACAAATCATTTGGACATCGCATGAGTTGGTTTCCTCAACGGGACCTCAACGCATTCCCAGACTGGCTACGTAATCAGTTACGTTTCTACGGAAGTTATAACCCGATGTTATCACGATAGCAATAACCCGAAAGTGACAGCAGTGTAAAGTGGATCGACGTTGCTAGTCGAATAGTTGTTACAATATAGCGGACCCATGAGTTTATATAAGCACCTTTGTCTCGATTCAAATAACTGTTAATCCAGATTGTGGACACGGTCTATCGATGTTCACGGGACAAATCATTCGTTCCTTAAACAATCAATTTCATCACCAGCTGTTATACCGTTTTACACAGTCGCATAGTTGTTTTCGCTTTAATGGTGTAGCGCTCGTTCGTGTGCCTTCGCTGATAGTACATCAGAATGCTGTATATAATCAACACTACGTTTTACATGCTTGATGGTTAACAAACATTACCTGGTAAAGATATTGATTTCCTCGAGCTGCACGTACGAGTGGCAGTGTTCGGACTCAGTTACCTAGCGTTAAGTACTATGCACCGCAGACAGTTAAATAGAACTGAACAGCTGTCCCCTTAAACGGTCTTTCAAGGCGATCACAACATCAAAGGTGATGCAATGTTATATTATTGTTATTATATATTCCAATGTAAAAGCTTCCATCCGTCTTAATCTACCGTCGTTTGACGCAAGATACTTTGAGAAACTGCAACTGGAAACCTGTTATTCGCTGTGGCTACCATAAACTTTAGAACAATGTGCCGTCTTATCTTATCTATTATCACTATTAATTATCGGTCTTTGCTTCTTGCGAATCCGACCGGCAGAAGGCCCAGTGGACGGCCAAGATTAACCTGGTGGAAACATATGGAAGGAGTCTGTTCCATTTGTCTTTTGCCGAAGCTCAGACTCTGGCACAGGATCGGGAACGTTGGAAGCAGTGTCTGACGCGTCTGCCTCCGCGACCCGAAAGGAGAAGCGGCGACGAAAGATGAAGAAGATGAAGATTATCCGTCTTCGTAAAGCCATTATCAGTGATAAGACCATTTTACAAGCATTTATCTGGGTTGAACCTATCATTAAAGGACCTCATAGAGTCATGCAGAAGATCGGTGCCATCTTAGATTCACGGAGAATGTGAACTCTTGGACGTTACGACGACACTCGAAAGCCGAGTAATCCATCTCCCTCTGCAAAGAATTCGCTTGAATCATCGTTGAGCATAATCTTCGTCAACGCCTGCTGACAACCTATGTGTACGATCATGTCCCTATCGATCTGGAAGGGATTCTGAATAACAACCGGGCAAAAATCTGTCAGACGACGCAGTATAAACTTATCCTAGATGCAGAGTGACGCGGGTTTAGCAAATGAGTCTGTCTGCCCCGGTGGACCATCGATCGAGTGGTGATAGTACAATTATATAGATATAAACATATTTTATGTGATGCCCAAAGTCATTTGCATTGAGGAAAGTGAACAGATTTCAGCTTATATATTCTGTTTCATGTATTTTTTATCGATCTTAGGTGTTGCTAGCTTAATTATGTTTCAGATGGAACAGGGTTGGCTCAACTGTAGTGCGTTTTCCATGTTGTTCGGTCCTAGCCCTGAACGTATAAAAGAGGAAACCTTAAACTTGCCAGAAACAACACGTTTTTGGAGTTAATCTTGTACTCGATTTGTGATTGTTCTTAAGTAATGCGAATAACGTGTCTACCATATGGATCTATTAAAATAATAATCAATAACAATTAATGAAGATGTCATAACTGCATGGAATTCTGACAAGAGATTTGACTGTGGAAAGCGACTGATTCAATGGCATACGGTGAAGCAAGCAATTCAGATTCTTCTCTGCACATCGCATTCCAAGAATGCTTACAAGTATAACAACAGAACATGATAGCAAGTTTCTATTCAGGAAGCTGATTAGAAGAAATCATAATCAGCTGAAATGTGAATGAATATTTTCTGGCTTTCTAACACTATAAGTGGAATCTTCGGCAGCATTTACTGGGGCATGTGCGCTTCCGGAGTATTTTGTGGATTCGCGACTGATTTCTAATTAGTAATATGTGAAACGAGTGCACCGGGATTCTTCTAGAAAAGAACAATATCTTGTAAAGAGGTAAATTTAAATAATTTAGAGTTACGACGCTCTCAGCCATAAGTGCCTCACTTTTATTGGCCGTTTCCTCCATTTGATTTTCCTGCCGAAGTAATGAAATTTGACGAACGTCCACTTCAACTGCACCACCGCCGCATGCGCGCACATCGTCAGCAGCACCAGGCCACAGATCGCGAAACTGCCGACGTAAATCGCCATCGCGTTGCTGGACCCCGATGGAAGTCCAGCCATGCACAGGTTGAACAGAAGTTGAAAGCAGATGAAAAAC